GATATTATATTACTATTGAAATTATTCTGGATAGTATTATTATAAAGTCATTGAGAATAATCTACTAAATTATAATAACATAATTATTGATGCATTTAAAAAATATATTTATTATATATTATCGAAGATATGGTTATGATTTGTTAGATAAACCCGGCCGAAGGCCGGCAAAAGGCCGAAGGCCCGTTAAAGGGTCTGGGGGCGAAGCCCCAGATTTTATATCTATGGCCCCCTCTAAGGAAAATTCCTAGTTACGCCACTGCCAGCATGTAATAAATGTAAAATTTTGTTTCTTAATTTAAAGGGAATAATTGTAATGTTACCCCACATCCATCCACGATAGATAATTCTGTCTGTAATTTTTCATTATTACTATTTTCCAAGGTTTTCAATATATTATTCTTTCTTAACTCCTGGGAAAAAGGCATATAAAGTTATTAGGAAATAAATAAAAACCATATAATTTAAAAAATAAATTCCAGTTTTCACTTTATTTGTATAAAAAAAATGCAAAGAGGATACACACAGCATAATCATAAAATAATTCTTTTTTTGTGTAATGATCATGATGTTATTCATAAATATTTTTTACACTTTTCATTTTAGATTGGCATCTTGACCTCAAACTTTGATTGGCAACATGTATTAGTAGGTGTGAAGCCTCATTAACCCTGAGGGGTAGAGGGCATTGTTCTCATATAATACCTCTTACCTGGAATCTCGTTTTTATTATCATAGGAAGTTGTGGGATTTATTAAACTTTTAAATTTTTTGATCTATTTTGAAATCATAAAAAGTCATGTTTAAGCTTGAGGTATGACCTAATAATTCCGTATCGAGCTTTAACTTAATCCATGCAGATGCAGCTGCAAAATCAATTAAATGATTGAACATTACCATACATTGGTAAAATTACAAATCGAATAATATGCTATAGCACAATCTAGATTGTTCAATCTCCCCACATTTTGATTTAATTTCTCAATAATATTCTGAGAGAATATAAAAATATGGGACTTTTTCCTCTTTTTGACCAACTTTACATTACTACAAGTTCATTTTCAAACCCTATAAAGGTCATCATTGGGCAACCGTCAAAACATTTAGTTAAAATCCTACCTATACCCAAACTGTGCCATAAGATCTTCTACCCTTTTTTTTAATGTATCGTTCTGATCTTAACCTAAATAAAATTATTTTTATAAAAATAACATTTCATGCGTAATCTCCTTGGAAATCTGATTTTAAGAGAGCCTGTTACATAAAATACATGTTTTAAAAAAAGCACTCCAAAAGTGTGGCTGAGGTAAAATACATGTTAATGAGTGCTTTATGGAAGATTATCACATAATCTCAACATTTCCACCAATATTCAATTTACCAGGCATTGGGTAGGAGTGGATTCAAATGATGAATTCTTGCAGTCACACATAAAAAAAATCCCAATAAATATTTTCACTTATCAGATTGGGCTTGATTCTGATAAATTACCATTTCTACTTACCAACACCCCCCCCCCCTCTTGGTAATTCATCATCTGAGGACTTTTCACTTAACTCATAATTCTCTTTTACAAAGTATCACATTTAAAATTACATTAAAAATTATAAAAAAACATATATTTGTAAAATAATTTATAAATTATAGCCAAACCTGCCTAATTTGGGCTTCTGATAATTCTGATAACAGCCTAATTTGACCAAAACTTTGAGTCCCAATCAAATTTCTGTTAAATACAATTATGAAATTCCTAGATAAATTAGACAACTATCAACTTTGGAAATTGGGCAGATATTTAATTTATTGTCAATTTGCATAAAACCAATATAAAGTGGGCCTTGATGTCAAATAATGATTAATTATTAAATTGATCTGTATATATTATATATGTATACAATCATTTTATAATAATTATATATATACTAGCTTATAACCCATCAAGAATGAAGGGGTTGAGGGGTAATTAGTTAGTTTTTCTCCCTACTATTATGATAGTTGTTACCTGTTATTTGAAAATAATATCTTTTTATTCTTTATAACCCCCTCCCTACCCCCTTTAGACCAGGTCTCCAGGCCTGCAAAAAATTTATTTTAGGTCAATGTCTGATCCATAGTTGATAATAGAATTCCCAAGCGTCCAAACTGATAATAATTTTGAAAAATTTTCCCTAAGCCCAGTCCAATATAATTCATAAAAATATTTTCCAAGCCCAGCCCCACCCATAATTTAAAAAAAAAATTTTCAAACCTGGCCAATACGTAATAATTTTGAAATTTTTTTCTCAAGCCTGAAGATAGGTAAATCTCTAAAAACCATATTCATTTTTTATTCTTTTTAATCCCGATCAATCCTACTTCAGACCAAGACGAACTCATTAGCACTAAGAGTGACTACTATTTTTTGAGTAAAAATATATTTAAATTAGCTTTTACCTGAGACCCATATAAATATTATGCCTAATATCTTATATAAAAAAATTCCCAACAGGTTAATGCTCATAATCATGTTGAGAAAATTTTCTCAAGCCCGCTAAAGACCATAATAATTTTGGTAGTTAAGAACTGAAATAAAATATGTAAAAGTCATAATTCATTTAAAAATACAAAATATGTAAAAGTCATAATTCATTTAAAAATACAATCAGAAAATGAAAATTGCATCTTGGTTTTTTGATCAGGCCTAGCTATGTCTGCAAAAAAAAATTTTCGGGTCAATGTCTAACCCATACTTAAAATTCAAAATCTTCAAGCATCTATTTTAAATTTTATCCAATATGACATCACAAATTTAAATTTGATATTTCTAATAGTCTTAATGCTCACTGTACTGCAACAATTTTACCTCTTTTTCTCCTAAATTTTAATATTTTATAAAAATTTATTAATAATATATATTTAATATTTATTACCATACACACAAACTAAATAATTACCCTTCAACACCGTCAGCTAATTATGGTAATAAACGGCAAAATTTTAAAAATATCAGCTATTAATTAATATAAATATATATATAATTAATATTTTAAATTTAATTATATTCAAGTTGGTGCATGCGTAAAGCATACGCCTTTGAAACACAAGGTTTGTGGTTCGACTCTTGTAGATAGCAAAAAATTAACATTACATTATATAGTCTCCTTAAATTTTAAATGCATTAGGGAGATACGAAAAAGATCGTGTTTCGATTATAGAGATTATATATATTAGATTCTTATTTTGTATAAGTTTATGCATACATATGATTTTGGTGATTTAATAAAATAAAAAAATTATTTAAAGATGGTTGAACATAATCTCATTTTTTGCTAAATTAATAATATAAAAGCTGTTAAAATGTTTTTTTAAAGTAAAAATTCTTGATAATTTTGGCGACTGTCTAGGTTGGGCCTTAGTCCCAAAGGTTCCCAAATTAGATAGGTTTGACTGTATATAAATATGTATAAAAGTGTGTTACATTGATAAAACATTTCATAAGTTTTGAGAAATTTTAATGATCAAAAAAGATAATTGATATCATTTAGATAAATAAATAATAGTGTAGTATAGTTTAAAGATCATTTCTTTACCTGCACTAACCATTGAATCTTCAATGATTAGTGTTTTTGAAATTAAAGCTTCAATAAGAATATGGAGCAAAAAGAATATCACAATTTTGCAGTTGTCTCTAGAGGTCTGCAAATTGGAAAAATTTAAGGCCCAGTCTGGTGGGAATTTAGCTTTCCTGGTTTCTAGGGATGTACTGATATTTCTTATCAGATCAGATCGGGCCAATATTTTATCTTTTTGTATTGGCCAATATAATAATAAAATTTTCCAATCCAATAAAAAGGTGTCTTAATTTTAAAAATAATTAAATTTCATAATATATTTGTTTACTTATTATGTAAATAGATTAATGTTGAGCTGATTTAAAAGTGGCTAACTGAATATTAGCCAAAAAATATTGCCTAAGCCTCAAAATTTTATTAATAAATAACCAAACCTTTGTACCATTTAAGAGCAAAATCTTCAGGCTTAGCTAATATTTTTCTAGCTAAACTAGTGAGTTAGGCTTTTAAAAAACCAGCTTAAATGAACTGATTTAGCAATACTAGATGTATGCATTAAAAATAAAAAGGATTAGTATGTTTATGAATACAAAATCAGATAAGATATTGGACCGGTAATCGGCCGATGTCAATTTAATATCAGTAATTTTGGCCATATTGGCCTCTATCTGGTTCAATATTTTACTAATGTTGTCCAGTCTGGTTTTAGATTTTTTTTAAATACAAGGCCTAAACCAAAATGTTATTGAACATAAAAGTAAACAACTATTTATGATATTGGGAATGGTTAAATTAAAAACACTATAATTGTAAGTTCTAAAAAATATCAGAATTCATCAAATATATATATATTGAAAAAAAAATATTGATTGGCCTGACCCATTAATTTTTTTTCCCCACAAAGCCCAAATAAAAATATTCAGACATTAAAGTCCAGCTTATCAGGCCAGATATACCTCAGTTGTATCTTCATGGAAAATTATTTTTTATAAATCTTTTAGTTAGCCAATTTTTTACCTTCAAAATATAAATTCCCCACTGTTTTTTTTAGAAAATCATAAAATCAATAAAGTTTTTGATATATAAATGTTTAAGAAAAAAATGTTTATAAAATCTTAGAATTTAGAAGGTTTATCAATGTCAATGATATATAATTTAGCATATAATATATGAAGTTCAAAACAAACTTTTCTAATTATAAAATGAAGAAGAATTAATAATTGTCATATGTGCAATTAAAATCTGCATATTATTAAAAAATAAATTTTTTAAATGTAGCAATATCATAGTGTAAATATCATATTATACATAAAAGATCTTTTATCATTAATTTTGAAGATATTTCTTATAAAAAGAATAGCTAAATAAAGTTACTTTAAGAAACATTTTGAGATTCTTATATAAAGAAAATTAAACATTTATGCAATATAAATAAGAAAAAATACTTACAATTGAAACGCTTGCCTTTCGTAAATTTTTATTTTCTTCCAGCAGATTTTTACACCTAAGTTTGTATGTTTCTAATTCAACTTTGAGAACTTTGCACTCTTGTTGGAGAGATTCAATTCTTATATGCATCTGCTCTTTACTTGTAGGTATTTGCGTTTTCAAATTTGATGTTCCATCAATAGAACTACAATCACTTTCTAGTTCACTTGCGCTATCGGCCATCGGTAAATGTTTTTTGTGAAATAAAAATTCAAATGGGAAACTTTTGAAGTGAGATAATCATATGTTATTTATTCCAAACAATCTAACAATTTAATCCAGTTAAATTATATACATTATTTTATTACCTAAATTGAAAATAATTATTATATTTTGATAATATGTATATACTAATTATATAGAAATATAATTTCTTTTATTTATTTTTAAAATAAATTAAATACTTTATTTTTGATAATAAAATATTCGTAGCATTAAATTAAAATGTTAAGATAGATCAAAAAATTTATTCAAATTTCAAAAAAATAAGAATTGTGTAGGAACTGATTATATCAATTTGGTAGATGCATTTAGCCAGAATTTTATCAAGAAAGGGAGGGGGATTTAAAAAAATATTTAAATTCACAATGGCAATGGGCAGCGTCCAATGATATATATCATTGGCAGTGTCTCTATGACAGGAAATTTATTTTAAGACAATATAGAAAAAATTTATTTATTTATTTTCCTGTGGTTACGTTAGTCCAAAAAAAGTCAAATAATTAATTCTTTAATAATTATTGGCGTACTCAAGTCTTAACGATCTCTTGCCCCCCCCCCCTCTCATTAAATTTTAATTTCATATGAGGTGAAGAAATTTGCTAATCCATGATATATATTTTAAAATAATGAATGATTAATATTTCATTTTTTGTTTAATTTTAATAAGAGATTGGAGGAGGGGGGGGGGGGGGGGGGTAATGATTAGTAGGCATAGCTAACCATTTCTTAAAACGATTATATCTCACTATAAACCAAATAAAAATTTAGCCATGAATTTTATAAAATTATGTAGGTTCATATTTTTGTAAATCTTAAAATGTCTATGTCAGGTTTAGGGGAAAAATTGTTTCAGATACAAAAATTTTAATTTTTATTCTAATTTTTTTTTATTTTTTTAACTTTAATATCATTTATATAAAATTTTTTATTTAGTGCAATTATTTCATTAATATAAATGAATATATCTAATATTCTATTAATAAAATAAAGAAAGATATTTTTTCTCCAAATATAAAATTAAGAGGAGACAAATGTAATACTAAGATGTATAAAAATAAATAATCGATGGAAGAAATAAAGCTTAGATAGTTGGAGGGAATGATTTCTGGAAAGCCTTTTTCGTAAGAAGAGATTCATTAAGTGGACCGGTCTTTTAGCCTATCTGTCTCCTAAATTCTCTAGAAAAGAAATTTGAGCTTTGCTATAATTGGAAGTTAAAGTAGAACAGGCTATGGGTATTAATGTATAGGAAGAGTCAATATTTGGATATTTTATTAGATTCCGCAAGTGCGGGAGCATCGGTGTTTTTGTGTCGAATGTAGCATTTAGATTGATGCAAGTGAAGATCCAAACCAGAAACTGGTTACTTGACTATGGAAATGTGGATATTCCATCAGGATGTTTCCAGTCCATCCTAAATTGAGAATTGGTTCTAGTCTAAAGGAGATGTCCGTCGATTTGAGTGATTCAAAGTAGACAATTTCATTTAAAATGCCATGGAAACGGCTATGGCAAAATTGACAATTGATGAAATACATGCCCTTTCTATCAATACTGGTTTCACGATATTTGCATTGTTAAAGCAAAACAAATTGACAGTTAAGCCTTACACTAATAGCAAATCTTAACTATTCTGTCTGAGGAGAGGAAAAAATTGGGTTGGATAGTGTTTAGTAATTCACAACTCGATCCTTAAGTAGTTAAAAAGTATGGGATAGCATCATAAAGGCTCTATTTTAGGTAAGCAAAGAAAAAATGTTGTATTTCTGTGAACACGAGGAAGATGGTTGAGTGTTTCGGACAACGGAATTGTCCCATAAGATCTTGCTTTCCATTAGCAAGGGTTCAGTCAACGGTGTATGCTTAAATATTAAGATCGGATGAGAGTCGGAAGATGATTAATCGGCTGAAAAATTGTTAGGGGGGATTGTAAACAACTGAATATGATGATTAGAGCGGAGGTTAAGGATCATTTTGGCTTGAGTTTGGCGGAATAATTTTTGTAAAATTTTAAAAATAAAAATGGATCTATATAGCAAAAATTATAAGAATGAAAAAAACATAGGAGATGATTGAACGTAGTGTAAATAAAAAATTAGAGAAGTAGTTGTTAATATATTTCAAACAACCAAATGGAAAGCCCATGTGATTTAGAGACAAGAATCTGGTGGTTTGAAATAGCTGAATTTAAACCTCTGTTTTCGGCTATCTGAGCTAAAGCCCAATTATTTTAGATAAGGTTTTATGATTGATAGAGGGAGGTATTCTACCATCTATTTATCAGGTATGTAGTGAAAGTTTGAATTCGGTAGAAACGCTTATACAGAAAAGTATAGAACTCAGGGAATTGTCTTGTTGAGTTTCTCTGCAGATGACAGATATTAATTAAATTGGATATGGATTGTAAAGAATAGTAGGAGTGAAAGTATTAAGAATAGGTGGAAAAGAATGGTGTATTTGTGTAAGAAAATGAGAGCGGAAAAGAAATGAAAGTGTCCGAAAAATCAATTTACTCTCCGTTGATTCCGATTTCGAGTTGATGACGTGCTGACGACTGCGGTGTACTTAATTATTAAAAATAAAAGCTGCTGCAAAATTTATTAAATTATATTACTAAACCTTATTTCTTAGTATTACTGAGAAAATTATTTTCTCTTTTTCGAAGGTTTTAATATGGGGCTTTTAAAATCCAGATATAAATAATGCAACCTAATAAACATTAGGTAATTTGGCTATCACTAATGCATTAGTCTTTAGGACTGCGATCAACCTTATCAAGGTATTATGATTGAAATGCCCCCCTCAAGATAAAATTAAAGAATCTTTAATAAAATAAACAGCCAAATCATAAAAGGTATACGCTTGACCTTCATATCCCTGGCTGTTCTCGCATCTATCATATGGTCAATACTTTAATATTTTTAAAAATAAACTAATTCATTATAAAAATGGATAGTAAAATTTGAATTAATCTATGAATCAATTAGTGTTACTAAAGGCCTCCATTTGAACCGATTTTTAAAAACAGTTAATTCAATATTCTAGAGAAATATATTGCCAGAACCTAAATATTTAGCATATAGATGTCCTAATCTTTGTGCTATATATGACTAAAATATTCGTGCTATATAATATTTTTCTGTGAAAAAAATATTGAACTAGCCGTTTTTAAAAACAGGCTAAAAATCGAGCCGTTTATAATACTGAAATCAATGTTCGTTATTCCAGGTTTTTAAAATCTACTATATTTTTCAGCGTTATATTTTTTTATTAAATAAATGAAAAATAGTTGCCTTGTATTTCCAAAAGACTTGTAATCGGGGGCTAAATCATAGATTTACATTAGTGATTTTCAACATAATTAATTTTTAATATTATTTATCTTATCATAATTTACAATATACTTTAGACTCTTCCCATAGTTTAATTTAATATTTCTTTGATGCTGATAATGCTTTGTATGTATAATATTCAAATAACAAGTTTTAAGATAATCATATATTTATTTACTCTATATCAGTGGCATCACTGGTAAGGGGAGCGCAGGGGTGGGGGCGATTTTTTGTTTTATTAATTATAAATATTCTGGTCCTAATTCTTTAAAAATGTCTACGCTTTGCTATCGAAAGAGGTTGGCATAGAGCAAGCAATGGGTAGAAAGGCGTAAGAAGGATTCGATTTATATTTTGTAATCATTTAGATTCGATGATTGCGAGGGAATAAGTTGATGAAACATCTGGATTAATGTAATTAAGGTCACAAAGAATGGCTTCTTGACAAGGATTAATCATATTCTGTCATTTCCCGTCGGTTCAAATGATGTATGTTGGTTCGTGGCTAATAGGGACGCCTGTCAAGTTCATATAAAATAAAATTTGACATGCCCCAGGAAACGCTCTTGGAGAGATCTACCGTGAAGGGAAATCCTATTGTTGCTATCGATAAAAGTTTCACACTATTTACAATAAACCGGTGTAGCAAATCTTAGCTCATTTTCATAGCTGAGTAAATGATGGTTATATCGATAGTGTGGGGGGGGGGTCATATAATACTTTTTATTTATTTGTAAATCAGATCACGATGGAGGGACACATTTTTTTTATCCATTGAGACGATGTCATAAAGGGTATCTCGAGAACTGGAGAAGTATTTGTTCGACTGTAAATTATTATCTTTCAAGGATGGGATGTCTAATATAAAAATTATTTGATATAACCTTTCCTTTGTAAAATATATAACATCCTTCTACCTCTCCAATAAAATAACTTAATTATTATTCGTCATCTCTGTCAAAAACTGCTGTCTTCATATATTCAACCTATCTCTCCCGAAAAAAATTTGAATGATTATCTAGAACCCAGTTTCGCTGCAACTTTTGTTGAGCCAACTTTAGATCAACCATAACAACATTTTTAAAGTTAAAACGAGCTACGATTAAATAGAAAACAGAAGCAAATCTGGATAGTAAACAAAACAAAAACATGCTAATAAATACTTTCTAACCTTTTTGGGTGCGAGCCACTATTCAGTTCTCTCTAAACAATAAAAAAAGCAGAGCATACCCAAGCCCAACCATAACTTAAAAAAATTGTTTAAAGTTTCAAAAGTTGAGAGAATATAATTCTAATATTCTGCTATGGGTTTATACCTGCATCAATTTTTCGGATAATTTTTCATTTTTAATTATTGATAGTAAAATTTATAGTGCTAGGAAAAATTGTCGCTAACAAAATATTTTGAATTATTAAATATGATAGTTACATAAGTTTCTGAACAAAATATTTTTTGGGTTCCACAAATGGTGGAGAAGGGAGGTGCACGATAGTTTTGGGAGTTTAGGCTAGCGGACCAAGGTTTACATGAATTTTACGTTAGGGAATCCAAAATGATTTTAATAATTATTAGTTGATTGAAGGAGATGGAGTTGAAAATGATATAGGGGACGGGATTATTTGTTTAAAATAAGGCGTTACGAGAACTGGCAAATTTGGCATGGAGGAAAGACCTTTCCACGCCCCCTCCTCTTCGCTTAACCTATGCTCG